CTAAGGAGGGATGGAAAGTTCATCAATTAGATGTAAAATCAGCTTTCTTGAATGGCGAGTTACAAGAAGAAGTATACGTGTCCCAACCGGACGGCTTTGTGATTAAAGGGAAAGAACACATAGTCTACCGTCTAAACAACCCCTTTATGGGCTGCAACAGGCGCCAAGGGCATGGAACATCCGGCTTGACCGGGCACTCAAAGATTTGGGATTCCAAAGATGTCCTCAAGAACAAGCAGTGTACAAGCTTCAAATGTCGGAGTTCATGCTTATAGTCGGAATATATGTTGATGATTTGATCGCTACAGGCTCAAGTGAATAAAAAGACAAGTGAGTTCAAGAACAGGATGCGGAAGATGTTCGATATGAGCGATCTGGAGGAGCTTTCTTATTACCTAGGCATCGAAGTGCAACAAAGTAAAGATGAGATTGCAATTGGTCAAGCTGGGTATGCAAAGAAAATTTTAAAACTCTTCGGGATGGATGGCTGCAATGAATCAAAGTACCCCATGGAACCAAAGTTGTCCTTAACAAAAGATGAAGGAGGGGAATTGGCAAACGTTACTGAATATCGGCGTCTTATTCGAAGCTTACGATATATAATACATACGAGACCAGATCGTGCGTATTCAGTTGGAGTGGTCAGCAGATAAATGGAAAAACCAAGAATCAATCATCTCAAAGTTGTAAAGCAGATTTTGAGATATATATATATATATATATATATATATATATATATATATATATATATATATATATATATATATATATATAAAGGGCACAATTTATCATGGATTGGTGTATAGACCAGGTGGAGATGGAAAGTTGATTGGGTACAGCGATAATAGTCACAACATGGATCAGGATGATGGGAAAGGTACTACAGGAACATCATTTTACTTCTCCGGTAACTTGGTCACATGGTGTTCCCAGAAACAACGTACAGTAGCTCTATCCTCTTGTGAATCTGAATTTATGGATGCGACTGCAGCGGCCTGCCAAGCACTATGGTTGAAAAGTTTGTTGAAGGATTTAACCATTAAGGAAGCAGGAAAGTCAAGTTACTGGTGGACAACAAGTCTGCAATTGAGCTAATGAAAAATCATGTGTTCCATGGCAGAAGTAAACACATCGACACCCGGTACCATTTCAATAGAGAATGTGTTGAGAAAGGCCTAATCTGTGTTGGGCACATAAGTGGAGAAGAACAAAAGGCAGATATTTTGACTAAAGCACCCCACGAGTGAAATTTGTCGAAATGTGAAACATGTTGGGAGTTAAGGATCTGCACGACACAAATCAGGATTAATGGGGAGAGTATTGGAAGTAATTCTGATTTAATCTTGAGTTTAATGCAATAAAGGAATAAACGGTTATCATATTATGATTAACCTGGTAATAAAGTTTCAGTTATAGTTTTGGTAGTTGTTAAAGCACTTTATTTTAGTTTATATGTAGCAGAGTCTATAAATTGCAAACGTTTGTAACTTGTTTGATGAGAAAAAATAAGAAGATTCAGTAACACTTTCTTGCATACATTATCATCCCTGTGTAAGCCTATGCAGGCTTTGATCATCTGTTTCTGATTTCTAATAGAGCTAGGTGGTGCTGACCAATGAAAGGGTGTTTATGTGATTTGTTTTAACCAACATGTCTAAGACATGATCTTTTTTTTAATAGATAAGTTTATTCATAACAAATGATTATAGTTACTGATGATCTGTTTTACATGATTGTAGGTCTGAGGTGATGGACAAGGCAGTCTTAAGACCAGGAAGGTTTGGGAAACTTTTTTATGTCCTGCCAAATCAAGATGAATGTGCTTTGATCTTAAAAACTCATGCTAGGAATAGGCCAATAGATGTTGGTGTGGACTTGATTTAAATTAGTCGGAGTTAAGCTTGTGTAAATTTTAGTTGAGCCGATCTTTCCTTGGTTTTTATCTCTTTCTTTTCAGATTTAAACTAACTTTGCTCCATCAATGATTTCAATTTGAAACTAAAAACTAATAATCATTTACCTATTAACGTAAAAATTCAACATTTAATTGGATAAACAATACAATAATAATATTTAGCTTACAATTACATATTTAAAATACATTGGAGTAGATGCAGGGAATACTAATGTATTTCATTTATTTATTTATAGCATCCTACTTTTATCTTTGTGTTATTAAAGCGTTGTGTCATTGGTCTAATGGGTATCATTTGAATGATAGACTCTATGAGAAATTTCTTTCAAGTATCTTTGATGTTCTATATGAGTGAAAACTTACTGAGGTATGTAAATTTCTAACCAAGGTTGAGTAGGATTTTTATAAGGGTAGTGATTTGTACACAACACTTTTTAGCCATACACAACAATTTATGCTTTAGATGATTGTACTACACCAATATAAAGCAGAACGTGTTGCGTATGGTTAAAAATTGTAGTGTACGGATCATCACCCTTTTTATAAACTATCTCCATCCACTCGTACCATTGCTAAACCATGTTAGCTTATTTGAAACTTAACTTCTGTTGTTTTATTGCATATTCTGGGAGAGCTTCATACATGTGTGGGTTTTCAGCAAGCTGATTTCTCATGCAAGCTGATTTCGCATCCAAGCTGATCTACAACCAAGCTGATTTCGCAGCCCCTGTCATTTTTTTCCTTAAATCTACTTTTTTAACCATAAGAAACTGAATAAACTTTAGACACTTTTATTTATTGATTTTCTTTAATATGAGGGCAATGTTAATCAGTCTCTTTGAGACGAGCACAAAGTTTAAATTTTTTAATTTGGCTTAGGAGTAAAAAGGTCAATCCATTGACCAACTTGAAAAGATTGGCCAACTGATATCAAGATGCATTCTCAACTGCAACACCATGAGTAAGTGAAGGCACCATGTAAGAGACAACATGTAGCTAGATGAGACGCATTGAGACCCATAAACCAGCACCGATCGAGGGTAAAATGGTCAGACTTGGCACATAAAAGGCGTAAAAAAGTGATCTGCTCAACTAATTAGGAACCAGTTGTTTACAAGTTTTTGCTATTGGAAGTTATTTTGTAAAAATGCTCTTGAATATGGTAATGATTAATTTGGTGATGTGATTTTTAGGATTGATTAGTTATATGATTTAAAGTGAATAAATGCTTAAAAAAATAGTAAGGCACATAATATAGCTGAGTTGGCAATTTGGCATTTAAAAAAATATTAATAAGATACAAAAAAAACAAAAGTTATAACTAAAACTTTTTATATTAAAATATAAAATATTAAATTCCAATGAAAGGATAGAGAAAACATGTCATTTAATAAATTTAAATTTCAACAAAAAAAATCAATACAAAGAACTGATGCTATATCAATCATACAAATGCTGTTAAAAAAAATCAATTGCACAAGTTTTGAGTTTCGACTATGATTATAGGATGGAACATTTAATGTGCTAAATATATATAGATGTTAGGGAAAAGAAGACAAGACAGTGTCTGCTTTTAGGACGGAGCATTTACCGTATTTTAAAATAGCTTAATTAATAAGAACATATTTTTAGTTTAACCCAAAATAACAATGTTAAATTATTAAATCTTATGTTTAATGTATTTTATTGCGTTAATGTTGACTATGTTACGGCATTGGTCAAAGAAGCGATCGGGAAAATAACATCAGCAATTGGAGACGGTGCAACTACTGAAGCCGGAATAACCGAAGAAGTCAACATCGGAGTCGGAATCAGTGATGTTGAGGGAATGCAAGTTCATGATACTCAAATAAACTTCTTTTTGTCTAAATATGAAACTCATTAAAGAGAATTACATTTTTATAAATTATTTAATTTATTTTGTGTGCAATCTATGATGGCTAGCAACTTTCCAATTGCAAACTTCCAATTTCTTGAAAGGCTCTTCAGGGAGTACACTCTTACCAATGCTATAAAAGAATCGCACAAATGGTAATGTACTTTAATCCCACATAAATACGACCCATGAGATGAAATTATGACATGTATGTTGAGCTAGCTGTTTCATTGGGTTTAATGTGATTAAGAACAAACATTATATTGTTATTTTAGTTGTTTTATGATCAACTGGTTTAAAAAAAACATATTGAATATTACATTGATATTTCTCAATTAAATCCAAAAAATACTATGCTTCTATTCTAGGTGTCATGTTGTTGTAATGAAAATAGAAAAAACCTCGAAGTAGGTTGTTATACTCGAAAAAAATAGATTGTTGTTTTCAAAATTGTATAGAAAATGAAATTGTATATATAAACACCGAGCGATAATTCATTTATCCACGTTCAGCCCTCCCTATACAATTGTGTTCCAGCTTTTCATTATTTCTTAATTATACTTCGTTGTCTGCAACATTCGCTATACTAAATTTTAGTAGAAACAAAAAATTTACAAGTAAAATATATATAAGAAGATAGTATGAATTTGAATCAAAATCAATAATTTTTTCTTTGCTAATTAAAAACAACCATAAAACTATTACAATTATCTGAAGTTGCATTAAAGTTAAAAAATCAATTGGTTTGTGTATAGACTATAGAACAACTTAAAACTATCTTTTTTTTTTTATTACACCGGTCAAACGGGTCTAACACTAGTTAACGCTCATACAAACACGACGGCCAATATCCTAGTTAATATTAAAGTTGTAATCAATTTAGATTAGTTACCACTTTAGAGTGTCCAGTGAGTAAAATAGAAAATTACAAAAGTAAGATGATGAAATTATAATATTGTATTTCTCTCTCTTTTAAGTATATGAAAGTGAAACCCATAGATTCGGCTTTTGAGACACTTCCTAAACCAAAAACAAACCGTCTCCTCGGTTTCGGACTACCGCCATCTCTTTTCCCGCCGTCTCCATTCACAAAAAGAACAACCTGCCGGCAACTACATGTCGACAACGAACCCGACGAATCTCCACCTACTTATATGATCAAGGAACACGTCCTTTCACACAAATTGAAACAAGATGCCGATCTGATTCATGGAAGCTAAATCCAAACCCATAGCTGATTCTAGCGAGTGGCATTCGTGGCTGTTAGTGGCGTTCATCGCTGTTCTCGTCGCCGGAGCTGCGTCCATCACCATATGGAGACACTACCATCAGCTTCAAAATAAGGTTCTTCATCTTCGAACGCCTCCCGATGGTGTTATGCAGAAATATAGCGACGCTCTTCGCATTTCCACCCAATTTTTCGATGTTCAAAAATGTAATTATAAATCCCTTTAGATTCCTCCTCATGTCAACTAAATTCATTGGATCAAATTTTAGTTCTTTTATGCTAGTGTTTGGTTGAACTTGCAGCTGGGAGATTAGAGAACAATCATATTGAATGGAGAGGAGATTCAGGACTACAAGACGGAAAAGAAGAAAACCTTGATCTATCCAAAGGACTATACGATGCCGGAGACCTCATAAAGTTTGGTTTTCCGATGGCTTTCACGGCCACCGTTCTTGCATGGTCAATCCTAGAATACGGTCAACATATGGAGGAAGTAAAAGAGCTTAAACATGCTCATGAATCACTGAAATGGATCACTGATTATCTCATCAACGCCCATCCTTCTGATAACGTGCTTTACATTCAGGTCATATTTACATAACTTCTTTAATTTCTAGCTTCTGCATATTTACGTGTACACTGAACACGTTTTTCCGACGGGTTTTCAGGTGGGTGATCCTGATGTAGACCATAAATGCTGGGAAAGGCCTGAAGCTACAACAGAAAAGAGGCCGGCGCTCCAAGTGAACATCTCGCATCCGGGCTCAGACGTTGCAGCCGAGACTGCCGCCGCGATGGCGGCAGCATCTCTGGTTTTCAAGAATCAAGACGCTCATTATTCCAAATCACTGCTCGACCATGCCCAGAAACTGTTTCAGTTCGCCGATAGCTATCGAGCGGTTTATAGTGAAAGCATTCCAGAGATACAAGACTACTACAACTCATCGGGATACTACGACGAATTACTCTGGGCAGCAACATGGCTCTACCATGCCACCGGAGATGGATATTACATCAGTTATGTGACTGTAATGCATGGAGACGCGTTCGCTGATTGGGGCAACCCGACATGGTTTTCTTGGGATGATAAGCTGGCGGGGACACAGGTAAATTAAACTTTGACTTTTATTACTGTATAAAACAATTTGTAATACAAAAAATTTGTAACTTTTTTTGTTTTAATATCCATTTAGGTGTTATTATCGAGGTTGAATTTCTTTGGTTTGGGAAAAGAGATCTCGATGGTAGAAAATATGAACCTTCAGATGTACCGGAGAACGGCTGAGGCCGTTATGTGTCGGGTTCTATTGCCACCACCAAGGAACCAGAAAACTAAGGGTAAGTTTTCTTGCTAAAATCGAAAAAAATGAACCAACTGGTTCCTAGGGACTAGTGATGTTAATTGGTTTAACCAAAATATTAAAAAAATAATAATAATAACCATAAGTAAACTTCTTTGGTTAAAGAAACCAAACGAACCAAAACCGAGTAATCCCAACCAAATAAGGTGTATGGAGTTATTCGGTTTTAGTGGTTTTTCTAACATCTTCTATTGGTACGTTCTCAATCGAACTGAAGGATTCTCGTTCTAGTTCAGGTGGTCTGATATGGGTGACCGAGTGGGATACATTACAATACTCCATTGCTACCGCATTCCTTGCAGTGGTTTTTAGCAACTACATGTTTACGTCGAAAACACCATACGTGTATTGCAATGGGAGGCTATACGAGTCAATGGACCTTCGTGAGGTTGCTATTTCACAGGTAGGTTAAGAGACTGAACAACTTGTAATGTGTTTTATGGTGCATTATGAAAATATTGCAATTTTTCCCAACCCAACTTGAAAGAAAGACTCACCATATTTGGTCTATGCAAAAGATGTAAACCCCACCTTATTTTCTTTATCAAGACAAGATATCTTTAATTAGAAATTTTGGTTGCGAAGCTATGTCCTATGCATGTACCAAATATAGCCTAAAAAGCTCAATCAAATATTACCTCAAATTAAAAATAAACATAGAAAAAGGTTCTCTTGTTGCACAAAATTCTATTATTTAATTATCGTTTAGCTAAAAACTGTTTATTAAACAACTTGTCATCATATGTTTAGGCCGATTATGTGTTGGGAAATAATCCAATGAACATGAGCTACCTAGTCGGTTTTGGACGTAACTACCCTCAGTATGTGCATCATCGTGGAGCCTCAATACCCATCAATACAAATACAAGTTGTGAAGACGGCTTCAAGTGGCTCAACTCAACGAAACCTAATCCTTACCTAGCAATTGGAGCGGTCGTTGGAGGACCGTTCCTTAATGACACATATATCGACTCACGAAACAATTCAAGACAAGCTGAACCAACTACCTACAATAGTGCCTTCTTTGTTGGTCTTATGTCAGGATTAGTTACCTCCACCCATGTTCTTCGTTCTTTCACTTGAGCCAATTTCTCTAAGGCAGGGGCGATGTAAAGCCGCGAGAGTATAATACACTTTTTTTTTTTTTCTAATTTTAGTTAGGTTTATCATACTATATATGTAATTCTACATTAGGATTCTAACATAGTTTTAATATTGTATAAAATTAAAAAAGTTATACAATTGTAACTCAGTTGATTTTATAAAATAGCCTGAGGACGAATTTTATGATTCGATGTTGTTGGTTTATATAGTGTTTTTTACACGAGTCAACCTTTAATTAGTCCTACAAGACTTCAGTTCAATTTGAAAACATTAGGCTAAACATTAGTTCACTTCAATAGTTAGATGAGGCTTTTTTTTAGGTAAGCTTAAGCAAAGCTCAAGATAGGAACATAATTAATTTAAATCAGGAGCTCAAATAATTTGAAAATATTAATAAGAGTTGATTTCAATAGAACAAATCTGATTCAATAGTTCAAATTGTTAAAATCCAATTGTCATGTGTTAAATAAAGTAAACTTGACCAAAAATACTAAAAAATAGATCTTGAATCTAGATAAGTATTGGAATCTAGTCCTCGTCAACTTGAGCTTACTTGAGCTTCACTACAAAAAAATAATAATAATAATAAATAAATAAAAATAAATAATAAAATAAAATAAAATAGTGTCGACAAAAATTACCGCTAAAGGGTAGATTTATCGTGAGTAAAGCAACAGTTGCGACACGTCGCCACTAAAAAGTCGTTGGTAAAGATATTTGTCGCCGCTGATACTCATGTCACCAGTAATACTCTTTGTCGCTGCTAATTGTCTAGTCCCCGGTAATTTCCTCTGTCGCCGGTAATATTATTTTTTGTTTTCTTTTAATTTTTTTTAAAAATCAACAGTTTCCGGGTGTAAAAAAACCAATACGTAACGAAACTGAACACAATTACCAAATCAATATGCATTTCTTGATCATTATATAGGTGTATGATACTTTGAAATCAAATAATCTATTTAATTTGTGCTAAAGAACCTTAAATACAAGAAACACCAAAGTACATTGTTATTTCTTGTACTTGGGACAAAAACACAATTACAAACACAACTACTAAATCAACATGCATTTATTGATACCAAAGTACATTGCTATTTCTCGCACTTGGAACAAAAAAGACCAAAGTACATTGATATTTCTTGCACTTAAGACAAAAAAACCAATTACCAAAGCTTTTAGCAAATAATCACCACAAACCAAAATTACCAAATAACATGCATTTACTGAAATTAAATAGTCTTGTTTTATCTGTGATGGCAGTGACTGTGGTGATAGCTGTAATAACTATGCAATCGGCGGGATAGCATAAGGTTTTCGGCCGATGCCTCTAATATGGCCATGCCATTGACCTAATCCTCTCTAGAAACATGCTCTTTCTTCAGCGGGTGCTAAATCTCTTTCACCATTTAACCCTTGCGTTTGTTCTAAAAGCTCTTGCACTAACCGATTCTGTGTTTTCCAAAAAAGATTAACAATTAAGTATAAATAAACACAATTATATGATAAAATTATAATTGAATACTTATGTATTGCTGCTCCGCTATATCAGTAAGAAATACACTATTTTTATCGGTATTAGCAACGTGGAACATTTCAACTCTCTTCAAGTTCTGTTTAGCATAAAAAATTAGATTATATTTTAAATAAATAATTACATATATTGTACGCTACCTTTTTATAGAAAGTACTGCTATACAAGCTCGACCCCCCACAGTACACGAAAGATTGTAGTTCACAGACTTTTTTGTTTCTTGCCGAAGCAGTTAGGTGTTCATCCGTTTTGAAATACTCAACTGCTTTCCTCCAATTATGAACTTACATATTATTCGGGGATGGCTAAAGCTCTCGGGATAACCTCATACCCTCAAGGGACTATCCGTCACATTATTTTCCTAATTTCGTGTGTAAACATGTCTTTTGGCTCTCCTAAGAGATCCAATATCATATCCTTATCATAGTCCATGTCAATTGGTGTGCCCTTATTATTTAAGAACGCCTTTTCGAGCTTAATGTTTTTTTGTTTTTCCTCTGACTCTCCTGTGTGGCACAGCTACAAATATAATTAAAAATTATTAGAAACAGTATATTATAATAACTGAATTAAAATATTAAATAAAAATTCATAAAACACTTATCATCCTGCTAATGTTGACCAACACCTCTACCGCCTGGGAGAGATGGGTCCTCAGCTCCATCACCCCAATGTCCACGGCCCATAACAGCAACCATGGTGTACAAAAACATGATTCATATCGACACCATTACCTGAAAAATTATAAGATATATAAATAGAATTTCTATTACAAATACACATTACATAGGAATAAACATTTGTAACGTCCCAAAAATATGATCCAAAAATTTCATTTTTAATTTAAATAAAACAGTATTCCAAAAACATTATCCATACAACTCAAATTAAAATAAGTATCTCAACATCAAAACAATCATAGTGACATCTCAAAAGCGAAATCCATGTGGTGTGTGTGATGCAGTCAACCGAGCTCTTCCCCTTGGAACCAGAAGTACCTAAAACATAAACTGAAAATTGTATGCACAAAACTTAGTGAGTTCCCCAAAATGCCACATACCATACATAATAACATATAATCGGCCCCGCCCATCATCGGACCCCATCCGGCATCGGGCCCCGCCCGACATCGTGCCCCACTCGGTAAACAGATCGGGCCCCACCCAGCATACATATAACATATAACATATATCAAGTAAACACATACACATGCAATAATCACAAAGATACATAACATACAAAATGGTCATCGGGCCCCGCCCGGCATCGGGCCTTGCCTGGTAATCATATAAGTACATAACAAATGCAAGAGTCATGCAGACAGCTAGCATACTAACATAACATAATCATGGGCCGGAATTGGTGTCTTCGACCCGCTAAACCCAGTAAGGAAACTCACCTCGCACTGCATAATTAAACAAATAATCCCTGGCTGCTGGTCCGACAAATCCCCAAGCTATCAATATCAAATAAAATCCAATTAACATTTGGGTTCCAATCATAACCATAAATCCATACATGGGGTAAAAAGACCATTTTACCCCTAACCTAGATTGGTCCAAGACTAACGCCCAATCTCACAATCTAAAAGGTCCAAAAGTCAAATAATCCACCAAGGCACAAATATGGCCCAATTTCTAATTGGGTCAAATCCCTTCTCATGGGCCTTAACCTAAAGCCTAATAATATTCCTGGCCCAAAACTCCCAAATTCAGATGGATCAACTAAACCCGAACCTTCTAAGCCCAAAACATGGCCCAAATTCAAAGCCCAAAATCGCAAAGCCACCTAACTGAGTACGCGGGGTGTACTGAGCTTGTGCGCTAAGTGTACTGGCTCAAGGGCTTGTACGCCCGACGTACTCTTCCAGTTTAGCCACAATCTACTTTCATATCTTAACCCATTAAGACTTCACTCCAGAATGTAGATATGACTTCCTTGAGCTGGATTACCACGTAAAGTTGCTAACTGTATGTCCATGCATGGCTAGATGAAGCTCTTAAGCTCAACAAGGACTTAATAAGTGACTTAATGAATGAATGAGGCCCTATACTCCATAAAGTTGGCACCTTTATTCTTAAAGAGCCCATGATAAACCTAGATCTGAAAGGATAAGTCCTAGGACGTCTTAACTCAACAATCCACCCAACAATGGCCAAAAGCATGAAAAATCATCCCAAAAAGAGATCTAAACAACTAGAAGTCAAGATGAGAACTTGATACCTCAAAAGCTTTGCAAAAAGGGTGGTGATTATGGATCCAAGACATTCTATCCAAGCTAAGCAACTTCAAGCTTCTCCAACTCCTTCAAAATGCACAAAATGAACACCAAATTCTCACCAAAGGCTCAAACACTCAACAATTGAGGGTAAGACTCGTTTTTAGGGTTTTGGGGGTTTAGAGGCTGATAAGGAGGCCAACCCTAATGAATAAGGATGTTTATATAGGGTGCAAAACCCCCAACTAGGATTTCATTAAAGTCCACATACGCCTAACGTACGTGACCTGGGTCCCGACTCACCATCAACTTAGTACGCTAAGCGTTCCAAGTGGTACGCCCCGTGTACTGGCTTTTCAACTAGTACGCTAAGCGTACCAAGTTGTATGCCCCGTGTACTACTTCAGTGTAACATCCCAAAATTCCAGACCAAAAATTTCGTTTTTAGTTTAACAATTCATAAATCAACAGTATAAAATCATTCATAATAATAACTCATGTCAAAACCAAAGTGTCAATCAAATCAAACATATTATCATCAAACCATATCAGAGTGTAATACCAAAGATCTCATCTGCGGAAAACATAGTGTGATGCGCTACGATCACCGACTCCTTTCCTTTGAAAACGAAGTACCTGAAACAAAAACTGAAAACCGTAAGAACGAAGCTTAGTGAGTTCCCCCATCATACCACATACCACATAATCCATGTCCCTCGGTATCTTTCAACTGGTATCTGTCTAGCATAACTGGGAGCTGGGTCCCCTTCGGTATCTTTCAACCGGTAACCGGGAACTAACATCCCCTTCGGTATCTTTCAACCGGTAACCGGGAGCTAACCTACCCTTTGGTATCTTTCAACCGGTAACCGGGAGCTAACCTACCCTTTGGTATCTTTCAACCGGTAACCGGGAGCTAAGCACCCCCTCGGTATCAACCGGTAACCGGGAGCTAACCTCCCCTTCGGTATCTTTCAACCAGTAACCGGGGACTATTTCACCCCCTACCACTACCCCATAATAACATATCACAAACATACTGCTAGGCATGCATGGGTTCTGATGACCCCTTCGGTATCTTTGAACCGGTAACCGAGGACTATTCCCCTACTACCACTATCACATAACATCATATCATGCTAACACATAAAACATATCAGGTAGTAGCAAACCTAGATAATTATCACAAAGACAATCATCTATCAACCAACTCCTACTAGTGGGCCGGCA